CCATTGCTACCTTGGACATCGTTGGTTCTTCTTGACAAATCATAGGTGGTGAAGGAATAAGTGGAGCTTCGGTGGAACATAGGAATTTAGACTTCCACCACTCTCTTTTCGGTGTGCAAATAGTTTTGAAGTTAGAAGGGAAAATTTTTGAGTATGGGAAAGGACAAAGAAAGCAACACTTGTTAGGTGACCCAAAAGAAATCGATGTTGGGAACTTGAAGTACAACAAATTATTTTAGTTGCCTTATTAGAGGCATAATTTGCTGCACCACAACTTAGATTTGATGCTCATAGAGAAGAATGTGTATGAAAATATATTGGGAACTATTTTGAACATTGATGGAAAATCAAAGGACACAATGAAGAGTTGTTATGATTTGATTGAAATGGGCATTCGACGGTCTCTTCATCCAGTCATAGATGATTGTATAGTATAGGTAGGTTACTATATCATGTGGACAATATTGTTTGCCCAAGAAAAATGAGTGTGGTTTTTGCAGATTTTGAAGAACGTGCTGGTGCCAAATGGATATTCCTTCAATATCTCAAGGCGAGTCGATCTAACCAATGGGAGGTTGCACGGATTGAAGAGCCACGACTATCATGTCATCATGCAACAGTTCCTTCCCATATGTGTCAGGAATAGACTTCCAAAGGATGTAAAAGGCTTGTGCACAATAGAGTGTACTCAGAGGTCTATTGTGGAAGGGTATCTAGTGGAGTGCATGGCATTTTCCTCCATGTATCTCAACAATGTTGATACAAGGTTCACGCGAGTAGGAAGGAATTCTGAGGCTAATGTGGAGAATATATCTATGTCTGGCACGGGTAGAGGGAAATGTTCACAAAAAGTTGTGAAATTAGATGAACTTTCACTATTCCAAGCCCATCATTATTAGGGGTGCTCACGGTTTGTTTAACCGAGCTGTGGGGTGATTTTCTAGATCGAACCGACTTGTTTGGTTTTTAAATTTAATTGAGCCGAAATTGAACCAATGCAACCGGTTAACCGTGGTTCGGTTTTTTGGTTTTTTTATGCATTGAAAATTAAAAAAAAGGGAAAAAACCTTCCTCTTGCAGAAGAGACTGAGAGAGATGAGAGATTGAGAGATGAGTGACTGAGTTTGAGACTGAGAGAGAAGAGACTGAGTGAGTCTGAGCGAGTGTCGAGTGAGAGAGAGAGGCTGAGAGAGAGAGAATAAAGAGTAGGTCTGGCTCGTTGGGGAAGAAGAAGAAGAGTCTGAGAGAGAGAGAACAAAGAGTGAGACAGTTGTTAAGATGAACAACTCTAGTTGACTGCAGAGTGCCTAGTTTCTCCTCCTTTTGGTCAACCTTCTCTTAGCATCTCTCGATCATGGCGGAACATATGGAGAAGTCATACCTGAAGCAATCGAAGGTGTTCCTATGTTCGATGAAAACCGGAAAGCGAAAAACGTCCGAAAAGGGTGAAAACCGTTTTTGGTGTGGAAAAGCATTTCTAGGGTTCAAGACACCGAGAGAAGCTATTGAAGTAAGTCTTGAACACCAAACTGGAAAGGCGGGATTGTTGATGGTGATTGACAAGTGGTGGTATTGGCTGCTTTAGGTTCGAACCTGTCTGCCAGTCCGAGCAGAATTCATGGCAACATTTGGCTATTGCGTATTGACTGCTTCGGGTGGTCAACATTTTGTCGGGTCTGTATCTGGATAGGACAAATTTTATTTCTAGCCTTCTTGGTCTTGGTCCATGCTCAATGTTCATTGGACTACCAGTCTGAGCAGTCTTGTGCTTGAATTTGATTTAGGTGGGATAACTGTGGTCATCGGTGGTGGTCGCCACCAAATGTTCTTTGATTCAAGCACAAGGCTGAAAAGTGAAAACCAGTTTGAGCAGTCTGGAAAGGCCAAACAGGTAGACAACCCAGACTGGCAGTAGTGGCAGGTTTGGTTTTCGAAGAGAAAGGTTCGGTTGGTTCGGTTAATCGTCGGTATTTTTAAATGGTTAACTGAAACCGAACCAAAATTGCCGGTTGTTTGAAAACACCAAACCGAAACCGAACCGGTCAGTTCGGTTAACTGATTTTTCGGTTCAGTTTCGGTCGGTTCGGTTTTTCGGTTTTTTTATGCTCACTCCTAACCATTACGTGTTGACACATGTAGACAAGGTGGCCCCATACATTGAGTAATTGTTACTATCTCATGCAATATTTTTTTTAATTATGGATTTCTTAAATTGATTTGAATTTCTCTAATGTAGTGAGCATTTAAGAGCTTTGGCCCCTTTGTTTCCAAGAAAGCAACAAGAATTACAAAAGGCCCATCGAAACAAGTTTGCTTCTTAGTTACGAAACCGCATACTAGGTGCCCAAGAGTGTGGGAGTGGTGGGCAGTTCTCCGATCTTGTTGCAACCCTTTCAATGAGGCCTAAGGCTAATGCATTCAAGTTATCAGGATATCTAGTAAACGACTATAGATTCTGTCCATTCTCTTCAAATAGAGGAAAGGTCTATCAAAACAGTGGGGTGATAGTTATTGCAGACACCACCTCATACACGAGTAGGTAGGACATGCATGGGATTCAAAGTATTGTCAAATATTATGGGAGGACCAAATAGATAATTAAGTTGGAGTATATAGAGAATGTCAACTTCGTATTGTTTTGATTTGATTGGGTTAACCCTTGGTTGGCAATTAAGAAAGAAAACTATGGATACACTATGGTGAACTTTGGGAAATTCATACGTGTGAGAGGGAGGAGGATGAGCCATTTGTGCTTGCAAATCAAGTTCAACAGGTATTTTATATGGAAGATGATTTGAACCAAGGATGGCATATAGTGAACAACACAAAGCCCTGTGATTTATTTGATGTAGGGGTTGTACAAACTGAAGGGGATGCTGCATATAGGGATGGTGCACCTGTTGTGTCTATCCAAGCGAGGGAAAATATTCCCAAAAATGATGAAAATATGGATTGGGATAGAGAGGATGCTGCACTGAACATGGTAGAAAAACCTCCTAATATTTCACACAGTAGAGCTTCACAAGGATCGGATGGCCAATTCATCAATGATTTGTTAGAGGAAGATGTCTCAGACAAGTCAACTACTGATAAGGAGTCGTACATTTCAACTAGTGACAAGTTTGATTCTGATAATAGACACCTAAGTTGTTTTCTTTCTTCGAAACTGTTGGGCGATAATAAAACTAATATCAATTATTTGGATGATTCTTCACACACTCAAGTGCACCTTTGGCCATTTAAAACCTTGTGAACCACATTTTTTTTTTTGCATAAAATTGTTGTGTATATATGGTTGACCACATTGTGTAGTTTCAGCTAGGGCTATCAATTGGCCCGGATTTGGTCCAATATGATCCGATCCAACATAGTTCCATTTACAAATTAACTGGACCAAATCCAATCCAAATCCATACAAACCAAATCACAGGCAATCAGCTGGGCATGGTTGGTGAGACCTCGTATTCTTTCTAACTCATGGTTTGATAGTTTTGAATTCAAACCCTAAAAGGCACCTTGGTAGTTTGATACACTTAAAGTTGAGTGGCAATTGACCTGAATTAGTTTATTGTTGCCTAGACCTAGTCTTTTACTTCTGTGGTTGGTCTGTCAAAACAAACATAAGGGTTCAATCAAATCCGGAAGAAATGGATGATTCACACCATTTCTCTGTAATAAACATAACTGGTTAGTCTGGTTTGAAGGGATCAGATGGTTACCAAAGCATTGCTTGTTTGGTTGTTATTTTTGAGGGAGATGAGTCCATATCTACAAGATTCTTTGTTGCCCACACAAACCTAAAAAAAAAACCTACCCTCTTCCATTGATTGAGATTGCTCATAAACAATGCCAAAGGGATGTGACAATTGCAAATTGAAAATTTGGTAGAAAGGGATGTGATGATTGGAAAGAGTTTAGGCTTATTTTTCTTAGGAGGAGAAGAGTTCGCTAGAAGGGCTTTTGAAGTTTTTGAAAGAAGAGAGCAGAAAGCCTCAAAAAGCTTATCTTCAGCAAAGATGGAGAGGCGTGGTATGAAGATCGGGATGGGCAAGATGAAGATTTTGAACCTGAAGATTAAATTCGTCCTGGTTGGGGGGGGGAGGTTCATTCTTTTCTTTTCTTTTTTTTTTTTTGAGTTGTAATGTCTGATTTACTCTGATGATTGTGTGGTTAGGTGTTCCCTTACACCTATTTTGGTGCTTGTAAGCTGTTTTTTTTTTAATGAATTTTCTTTTTAATCTTCAAAAAATAAACAATGCCAAATACCATATTTTGTCATGCAAAGGGTATAGTCAGGTCAACAATCTCATGCAATGGGTCTGGATTTAGGGTCCACAACCTCATTGTAGCCAACCTCTCCCACACGGTTCAGATTGGCCAAGGGGCTAATAGTACTCTTGACCCTACAGCCAAGGTGTCTAATTTTTCTCAGATTTATACACTTAAATATTTATTTTTTTATCATACAATTGATGATTGTGACAAATTTTAATGAAAATCTATGGATTGATTGATTTGCTACTACTTTTGCCTTTTGGAGAAAAAAATTGATGACCTAATGGTAAGTCTTGGAGGTGTAAAAGGGTGCACTTGTTCCCTCTCCAGTTGTGTATAACTTTTTAAGTAATTCATAAGAGTGTGTAAATTAACTTATATTAGGTCCATGAGATTGGCTGAAATAATGTGCAAATTAACTTGTATATATAATATATTTTCAAGATTAAGATTATATTTGTATGTATGCAGAATTTCTTTTCTAAGAGATTAGTTTGATTTGTGCTACTAATGAACATGCCAATTGAGAATATCAAAATTCACAAATGTTATGCATCTTTATTCTTCTTAATATAAAAGATTTTTATTAAAAATAAAAATCCCCCCTTCCTCTTCATCCTCCTCCCCTTCCTCCTCTTAACCCCCCTCCTCTTAAGGAGGCTTAACCTTCTTGTGTTCGGGAGGCTTATGCCTCTTGCATTCTGAACTATGCTTCACGCCTCTAGGTAGTGGAACGCCTCGCGTCACACCTCCGCGTTTTAAAACATTGGTTCGATGATGCAGTGGCAGTCATTTTGGGTAAAGATCAACCATCACAGGTTCATTGCTTGGGCTTTGGGGTGAACCCAAAGCGTGCTTTCAGAACTAAGGGGTCACAAAACACAACTAATAGCTGCCTTGTGCGATTCAAGGAGAGGTGGGTGATCTTCAAGCAAAAGCAGCACGATTGGAGTGATATTGATTTGTGATGATCTTCAACGCCTCTTTGACCATTGGGAAACACCAAATAGCAAGGTATAAGTTGAAAATAATATTGGTAAGTCTTTTTAGGATATGATAATTATATAATTTTTTTATTAATATCACTAAATTGCCTTTGTTGCAGGCAAAGTGTGAAATGATGACCGAAATGAGGACACTGCTCACCTCCATGAAATGGTGAGAAAACAAATGCATTTTATACTTTTGATTCTTTTGTTAGTTTATATATTGACTCTCAATGGTTTGTTATAGATGGAAGAAAGATGGCAAAACAATATTCCCCCACCTTCACCTAGGAGAGAGAACCTATTCAAGAGGGCCCATACAAATTCCCAGGGGGTGTTTTATGACCCTCGAGCGAGGGAGCTTGTTGTAACTATTTTTTTATATTTACCCATTTAATCATTTTTTTATATTGTTGTAGGCAAGGAATAAAGCATATGTGGATACAGGCATAATAGGGCATCTTGGTCGAGCCCATACGTGCCCATGATGCAATGGCGGTAATTTTGGGTAAAGATCATCCACCACGGGTTCATTGCTTGGGCTTCGAGGTGAACCCAAAGCGTGCTTTTGGAACTAAGAGGTCCAAAAAATACCACCAATAGTGCAACCGCCTTGTGCAATTCAGAGCTACAGAAAGAAAACCAAATGCTTCAAAGAGAGGTGGGTGATCTTTAAGCAAAAGTGGCACGATTGGAGTAATATTGATCGTGATGATCTTCATGCCTCTTTGACCATTGGGAAACACCTGAGAGCAAGGTATAAGTTGAAAGTAATATTGGTAAGTCTTTTTAGGATATGATAATTATATAATTTTTTTATTAATATCACTAAATTGTCTTTGTTGCAGGCTAAGTGTGAAATGATGACCGAAGTGAGAACACTGCCCACCTCCGTGAAATGGTGAGAAAACTAATGCATTTTATACCTTCGATTCTTTTGTTAGTTTATATATTGACTCTCAATGGTTTGTTATAGACAGAAGAAGGAAGGCAAAGCAATATGCCCCCACCTTCACCTAGGAGAGAGGACCTATTCAAGAGGGCCCATACAAATTCCCGGGGGAGTTTTATGACCCTCGAGCGAGGGAGCTTGTTGTAACTATTTTTTTTTTTTTATATTTACTCATTTGATCATTTTGGCTTGGTTTTGTGATCGTCCAATTTAAATAAATATATTATTTGAAATTGTTGTAGGCAATGATGAAAGCATATGTGGATACAGGCATATTAGGGCATCTAAGTCGAGCCCATTGGTGCCCATGATGCAGTGGTGGTGATTTTGGGTAAAAATCATCCATCATGGGTTCATTGCTTGGGCTTCGAGGTGAACCCAAAGTGTGCTTTTGGAACTAAGGGGTCTAAAAACACCACCAATAGTACAACTGCCTTGTGTGATTCAGAGCTGCAGAAAGAAAACCAAATGCTTCGAGGAGAGGTGGGTGATCTTCAAGCAAAAGTAGCACAATTGGAGTTTGTGGTGGAGCAGTTGGCACACTGTCAGGGAATGGATGCCTTGTTTCCCACTCCCCCTTCGGTTCAGGTAAAATCTTGAAATTGATTCCTTTACTATAGTTAAAATAGTTCATAAGAGTGCACCTTTGGAGTTCACACCTATGAAAGTCACACCTTATAAGATCATGTCAAGCCTTTTGGCCTTCAAAGACACACCTATGAAATTCACAAATGGGCATATACAATAAATTAAGAAATGAATATTGTGAGGATCCAAAGCACTTGCAGCATATGTTTCTCTGCTTGGTTCTGTAATGAAAGAAGTGAAGTGGAGTAGGACAACAAAATATGTACATATGAATATTCTCACTCTTCACCCACTTAAAGACCTGTTATGTCTTCCAAACTCACGTCAAAATAACAGGACTATTTGGGGCCACTCTTGGCCTTCCCTGAACTGAGACCCTTAGGAATTGCCAACTGTTAGGAAATGAAATGGGGGCACTACACACTGAAAATTAGGTGTTGACCAACTGGGTAAACCAAAAGATTAATTAATTAATATAATGAACAGTGATGGAAATGCAGAGGATAATAAATTGGTAAAGAGGTTGGTTACCATCCATCTGATGATTGAACTAAAGAATTATTATGTACATGATGAGAGTTAACACTGTCATACTTTCCCTGTATAAATACATTCCTGTTACCCTTACCCCCCCTCCCCCACCCCAGCCCACCCTACCAAAATTAAAAAAAAAAAGAGAACGGAGACAAAAATGCTAATGAATCTTCCTTTTTTAAATTTATGGTTTGGTAGCCATTTTAAGTATCGATTTCTTTTGCTTACTGATTTACTATTGTAGGAAAGATGGCATGGAGGTACAAATAAAGGAGAACCATCAATTAAAGAACTTACAGGTCCAGGAATGTAGAGTCGATGTTTCCCACCAATTTTCATGCTCAATATCCCCTCAAGTCTCTTAATCACCCAGGTTGTCATTGATTGGATCTTGAGGACTTGGGAAATCTACCAATTTGATAGCTAGCAACCTTGATTTTTCTCCAAGGGTAGGTGGGGTTAGACTGTTAGAAGAGATTTATATTGGAGTTTCCTAACAAGCCTAGTTGATTCGATTTTTGTAAATTTTGGATCTCTAAAACATTGTTGTATAACGTGCTCTGTTAGACACAGGGACAGAGTGATCATTTAACACTTTTATGTTCAAACCTAAGAAAACAATAGAGTGGGTGCCACCACACCCAGTAGAGTTCTCTTTCTTCCATCTTCTATTTTCCCTCTCTTCTCTCTTCTTATAGCGTAAAACATGTATAAAATCAACCTTAAGGAGCTCAGAACCTACTTAATAACATTTACTAAAAGACAAAGCAATAACTCTACTACTTTAGCTGTTATTAGACTGCCCCCAAGACTAAGATACCCTCCTCTCCAAAATCAAACCCAACTTTTTATTAATTTTTTCATCCACATCCCTCAAACTAACCATAGCCCTGAGATAATAGCTATTCCATTCTCAGCACTTACATAATATTTGATCCTCTGAAAAAAAATCAAAGATTTGCATGAACAGCCTAAACAGAAGTAAAGAATATACATTGAGAACTCTGTTTTGGGCCACTTTGTAACTGTGTTTCAGGCTTGTTTAGTGTTTATGACTCAAATCCTAGGGGGAGGTAACACCTCGTGCCTCTTCCTAGGTTGAATGTACTATTATTTTTTGAATTAATAAAACTACTCTCATTTATCAATATATATATATATATATATATATATATATATATATATATATATAGACATTGAGAACAAAATTTATCTGTCAAGATGTTAGTAATTTGTTGCTAAAACTTTTCATTATTCAAACTAGGTTATCAGTTTGCAGAATATTAATCTACATGAGTTTTATTCAAATTACCTTCTAAGCATGGTAGCTTTCTGCATCCACAATTTGTGGGTTTCTCTCTTATTCTCAATTTACTTTCACGGTGTAAAGGTAGTTCCTGTGAAATTTAATCCTTTGGAAATCTGTCCATGTATTTTTTGGTGTTCTGTCCATGTATGAGTCATGAGATGAAGCTATGAAGCTTCTGAGTATGATGTTTCTATTGCTCATGGTTTTAGGGGTTTGGTATTCTTTGTGCAATGTTGATCATTAGCAGATATACTGACACAAAATCCTTTGAAATTTCAATTTTTCCTCTCTGTAATTTTATCTTCAGTTTCTCAACCCAAAAGATTCCTGAATATGCATCAAAGTACATTCTTCAATATACACACTTATGGTTTCATAGGAACATGAATTTCAATAGAACTCTATTGGAAGAAGTGATTTAGAAGACCAACTCCAGGATAAAGCACTGAAGACCTTTGCAGATTTGAAACTCTTCCCTGGTTAAGGAACAATACTAGGATATGTTTGAAAACTTTATATTACACTAAAGGATTGCACACAGTTGGAAACTAAAATAAACCTACTGTACAAATTACGTAGACCATAAGGAAGACTACCAGAAAATTGTGTGCATATGCATGAAAGGGCTCAGCATTTGTAGGGCGGAAAATGGATCAGATTTAACCGGATTCATATTTGAATCCAACTCATTTAAGTCATATTCAGATCTCCATTTATCCATAAACCATAATCAGATCAGAGCAGATCTGAAAATCCAACTAATTTAAGTGAGTTTTTGCGACGTTTAATAAACGTCGCCAAAAGCCAATATGCATCATTGAAAATCCATGGATTTACATCTCAAAAGGTAATTTGCAACATTTGTCAAACGTCAACAATTATATTGTAAACTTTGGAGGAAAAACTTTTCTCTAATTTTCAAAACAAAGAAAATTTACGAAACCCATAAGCGGCCAAATTAGACTCACCCTTAGTCAATTTGGCCATCAATGTCCAAATGTACATCATAAGGACTACTAATGCTAATATGACAGGTGAAATGGCCACTAAACCCTTACATCTTGTAATTTAGGGTTGACAATTTTTTTTGAGTTTTTGACAACCAAGAAAAAAATGAATGGAAATCTTTCAAGAATGGTTTTCTTGAAAACAACATTTGATAGGAAAACAAATTATGTTCCTAATTCTCCTTTATTTTATTTTTCTCCTCTTTACCTCTTATTAATGAATGCCCTAGCTAATTTACTATGATGGTTTTGTAATCTTCTAATTTGTTACAATTCAATCTCTATAATATATAGTTAGATATTAAATTTACATTCTAACATCTTATCTTTTCTTTGATTTTGTAGGCTTGAGTACTAAAATATTTACATTTATTCTAAAGTTCACAGACAAGTGGTGTTATCATGATAGCAATATGGAATACGTTGGTTGTTATGTTCAACATGTGTGCAATGTAAATAGAGTATCAGTAAACTGTGCAAATATCGTTAAAAAAAAGGCAAGTTATGTGGCATATCAGATGGTGATATGGTGATTATAAATTACAAGATACCTAAATGAGAGCTACATTAGCATATGTGGGTACTTGTGAAAATGACATTGATATTATGTTTACTCTAGCTTCTTCCGACAATCAAGGAAAAGGGGCAGGGTAAGATAGAAACAATAGGATCTTCCTAGGTCAAGAAAAATCTAAGGAAGCACTTGTGGAAGTTGTCACCATTAAGGTTATGCACTGGCTAAAAGTACATCACCTTTTCAAGGATTTCTCTTTAGTGGACTTAATTAGAAATTGGAGTGCTATAGTTGTATCCTCACCTTCCTCCCTTGTAGTACAAGATTGTTGGGCACCATTGCCTCAGCTCAGGGTAAAGCTAAACCTTGACGGAAGCTCCTTGCGTAATCTAGGTTAGTCGGGAGTTGGGGGTGTGTATAGAAATAAGGAAAAGTCTTGGCCCTTTACTCAGGCCCAATTGGGGTGGGAGATTCATTAAGGGTAGAAGTAATGGCTTTCAAGGTTTGCAACAATTAGAAGTGGAAGGAGACTCCAAGCTAGTAATAGGGTGGATGCAAACTGAAAACCTAGGAGTGCGGTCTCTTAGACAGCCTATAAGAGAGGTTATTAGTTAAGCAAGGAGTTGCTAGGGAGGTTTTGTTTTGGGCCTGTTTGTAAGTTTTTTATTTTCTTTTTCCATCCATTTTGTGAGTGATAAGCCTGCAATCTTTTCAATTATCCAATGAAAACTAACGTTTCCTATCCAAAAAAAAATGTCAACTTGGAGGAGAAAGGAAATGGAGGACCTGAATTTGTCGAATTCAATGAAAACAAGTGTAGTAATAGGATGTAGCCATACGATGATGACAATGAATTACCTGATTATGAATCAACGAGGGACTATAAATGCTTCACAGAAGATGGCAATTTATTAGATAGCATTTATCTGTTCCAAAGCATAGTTCAATTTTGCAAATCCATCATTTGAAGTTGCCATGAACTGTACAGATAACAAGGAGTTTAGAAAGGCCATCAGTCAATATTGTGTGGTGGAGGATGTACAACTTGTTAGAGTGAACAAGTTTTTCTTCACTACTAAATGTGCTAATAAGGGTTACATGCGCCCTAAACACATTATGGGAATAACTTCCAAGTGAAAACATTAAAAGGCAAGCATACAAGCATATGGATTATGAGAAACAAGGAAGTTACCAATACATGGTTTTCCTTGCAAATTGAAGAACGGTTGAGGATTGATTGATCCTAATTTGTCGGTTGGAACCCTTACAATTGAAGTGATGGAATTGTTTAGCATAGATGTTCATCCCTAAAAGATATATAGGGCAAAGATAAAAGCCCTTGAAAGGGTTAGGGGAAGCCATGCTAAATATTATGCTAAGCTTTCTACTTATTTTTGAGCTTTAATAGAAGCTAATCTTGGCTCAATTTGTAGAATAGAAACTTAAACTTTGGAATCATCCAAGTCTCCACATTCAAATGGGTTTTTATTTGTTTGGATTCAATGAGGGGGTTTTTGGATGGGTGCAAGAAAATTGTTGGATTAGATGATTGTCACTTGAAGGCAACAGGGCTTCCAAGTGGTGTCCTATTATTTCCATTGGTCTTAATGGAAATAATGGTATATTTTCAATTGCATGTATCGTTATTGAAGCAGAGAATAAAGATGCCTAAATATGATTTTTAACAAAATTTTGTGATACATCAAAGATTGACAATGCTTCTCAGTAGGCATTTATGTTTGATAAGCAAAAGGTAATTGAACTTTATACCATCGTTTCATTTGACTATCTCATCTTCGGTATTTAATCATATTGGATTAAATATGATTAAAGGTAATATTATGTACTTGTTTCTAGGGATTACTGATGACTTAGCTATTTGTTTGCCTAAAGCCTTGCATCAATTGTGCTTGAGACATTTATGCAGCAATTTTAAAATAACATATAAAGGGATGGCTCTAAAGAATGCAGTTTAGGTTGTAAGTAGGGTATGTGTGCCTTAGGATTTTGTGTGTCGTATGGAAGTTGCGAGGCAAATGAATCCAAATACACATGATTGATTGAGAAGGAAAACTGCGGAAACTTGATCTTGACATGCTGCATTTGAATTAACGTTCAAGCTAGATGATCTTACGAACAATTGGGCATAGTTATTCAATACATGGGTTGGTACAGCAAGATTTAGCCCACTAATTGCTTTATTAGATGATATAAGAAAAAGATTGATGGAAAAGGTGTTTTCAAGGCATCAAAGGGATATATAATCAAATGATGTGTTAATGTCAAAGATGTAAAAAATAATAGATATGATAATAAAAGAGGTTAGGTAAAAAGTTTTCATATTTATTTGTGTTTCATTTTTTATATCGTGATACACAAATATACTAACTTTATGATGTTGTAGGTATGCCAGAATAATAAGGTCAGGGAATAGGAATATCAAGTTATATGTAGAAACCTTTAATATCACGTAACGAAGATGGGTGAATGATCATACACGTGTCGAGTGTGGGATATTAGTGGTATTCCTTGTGTGCATTCTGAGTCATCATTTAAGACTATTGTGACAATGTTCCATGCCTCAAGGATTCCTCCATAAACACATTCTTTTATCATCACTTATTTTGTATTTGATAGCTTTAAGAAATGTTGTTGGTCTCTTTAGTGTCTTTCTTTCTCAATTCCTTATTGCTTTATCCATTTTAGGATTTGAATTACACATGATATTCTCTTCCTTTTCAATTTATGCAAGTCTTATAGATTATCAACAAGAGAAGTTATGGAAGCGTTTCCACCCATCCCAAGGCCCCAGATGGCTAGGACCAACATCGGGTAATGGCCTTTTAATAAATTAGTGGAGGTTGGTTATAAGAGATTTTTGAGTTTCTTACTAAATCAAAACTTTTTGGTGGTTTTACCAAGGCAGGTTCCTAGGAGAAAGCACTCTATGAATGCGATACCCAGACATTTGGAGTCCAAGATGCACAACTAGATGGACACTATGGCTGGTTAGGAGTTACAAACAAAAACTAGTTGATTTGTGTTGTGGTCTTTATGTGGGGTATGAGAGTTAAACGAATTCAAACTGGTAAACAATACTAGTTATATAACAAATGAAGATACATGCACCTGATCATCCTGGATAAACCTATAAATCGATCAAGTAATTAAAATATAAAATTAAGCGATCTGAATTAATGGTAAAATCGGGTGCTTAATTTTGATGCATGGGAACAAACCAGAACAGTGCATGGCTCGATATGTCTCTGTAATGGCACTTGTTTAAATTATGCATTTGCATCTCATTATTTGCTTTCCCACAGAGAGACACTATTGCATTATTTTGCATTACTTGGTCCCGGCCACAAATGGGTTTGCCCAATATAATTTCTTTCTATACAATATATTATTAGTGTATTAATAACTGTCACTGAGTACTTTGGAATTACATGGATAAGATTGTAGCACTAGTTTGTTCAAGATGACACTTATTTGTTTAGAGTATCTTGATTATAGATTGTATAACATAACATACCTCATCAGTGCAAGTTCGTATCAACAATTTGGACTATTTCTGCATGTGTAGATTGCATTTGACTTTGAGATTGTGTACAACCCATGTTCTTTTTATCTAGTTATTGAGAGTTTCACTCTTCAATTAAATGATCGCAGAAGTTGTGCTGCACCCTAGCTTCCAGTAGCCACGATCAAAGTCTTGCTTGCAGATATTTACAAGCCAGATGATAGATACTATTGTAACTTATATACCTTGAAAACTGAAGAATGAGAACCCAATCCATGATCCTTTCGTAACCACCTCAAACTCTGGAAGGGGGGGGGGGTTCTTCTCCTGTCATTCTTCTCATAATAAAGCCCAAATTGGAAGGGAAAATTAGAAAAACATTTTTTTGTTTGATATATATATATATATTTGGTGATTGGTAACTAATAGGAGAGATGAAAATGGTGCTTGTAATAGACCTTTATCATTAATTTGTTGAATGCTGAGCTGAAGGCGCCTGAAGACGGTACCAAATTAGCTCATCATCTGTCAAATATGGAAAAGAACAACCTTCCATGTTGCAGCTGTGATTTCCTTGGAGCATATGTGATTTCCATGGCCTCTAATGTATGTGTTAACCATTGGTGTCAAATTTTTTGGTTTTGTGGCTGGGAGAAAACTAATAGCTACATGTAACAAGGATTTCTTCAATAAGTCGTTCAGTTCAGCCAGTTCAGCTCTGCTCAGCTTTTATTCTTATAATTTATTAATGAATCTGTTATTTTTTATATTTGTTTAATGGCACGAGTAGTTGAAACACCATTGGGTAACAAGACATAATTGTATTTGCATTGATGAAAATGCCAAACATCCACAAAAATGGTAGCAAAGTGGGTGTGTAAATCTTGAACCATTTTGCACTCACATGAACAAAACATTTTTGTTTTGCACTCTACAAAATTGTATTCGTACTCCTTCCAAACAAAGCCTAAGGGTTCTTTTTACATATATTCATGTGATTTTTTAATGAGGCAGTTCCATTTTTTTAGGGTCACAATAAAACTCCCTATCACGGTAATTACACTTAGTCTTCACCTCACCATTATCACAAACTTAGTAAAATATTCCCATACTTCTAACATTGGTTGTATGGATTTTCTCTTTCCATTAGTGGTTTTATTTGTATTTGTCGAACCTGTTTGACTTGAAGGTTTGGGATATGAATTTGCATCCTCAGTACTAGTCAGTGTATCTCGTGTTTGGTGTGACATCTACAAACAATGAAAATATATGTTAGTACTGAAAACAAATGAAACTGATCACATAATATCACATTTAAAAGTCAAAGTGAATGAGTTAGTTTGCATTGTACGATGCAATTGTAGAAGCCATGGTTAAAAGTAATGGACACGCCAAGACCAAGTAAACTATCTCCATGTATAAGAAACACAATGTTTATTAGAATGATGAGAAAATCCTATATGATACAAAAAGCAAATTGAGTTTGAGGGTGATCAAACTTTAGAAAGAATGCAACGTTGTATAAGCTTACGGAAAAATGAAATTGAAAATAAAGTAGTTTCATGCTAGTCCTCCACACATTAAAATAATTTCATAAGAAACAACAAAAAAATTATTTCTTAAAGATAAGTAAATAAATAAAGTAAAGTTTCTATTCATACATGTAGAAGTCAATAAAAAATAGAGATATATTGATAAAAAATTACAAAAAATAAAACAGAAATGCGGATAAATTTGGAATGGGAGGTTTCAATGCCATAAATTTGGGTAGTGGGAAAATCAATTGAGTATATGAAAACAAGAAAAAAACTTTAAGCTATTTATTATAAGCTAAAATTAAAAAAAAATAAATTTAAGGATTTAAGAGCCCTTAATACATTAATTATAAATTATTTCATTCAAATGCGATTAATCCAATGGTTATCCACAACCTAACCCAACCCAATTCATTTAAATTGACCCAATGGGTGATCGAACCCATTTTCAACCTGCCAAGTAAATAGGCGAATTGGGTGAGTTCAACCGATTGGGTGAAAAATTGCCACCCCTACCCCTAATGATCATCTCTTTATCTCTCTCCTAATACTCAACTTTTACAAATCTATACATGCCTACATATTTCATATTTAATTATCATATTAATTAATGCTATTAAAAATTATAAGTCAAACACTGGTGACCCAAATAAATTACCACTAATACCAATCAAGAAAAAACATTTTAATCCATCTTTAGTTTTCTTACGAATACTTTATCAAACATAAAGATAAAACATATAAAGCAATAATATTGCAAAAGTAGAAATTCGTATCAGCAAAGTGGAGTTTGAATCAGCCTCCCATGGGATTGCCCCCCACAACGTTCCATAGCACATCTCGGCCGTGTATTAAGAGCATTTCCTGATGATGATATCATCATTTCTGGGATTATCATCAGGAGATGTCCCCAATACACGGCAAGAATGTGCTGTGGGATTTTGTGGGGGGCAATCTCGTGGGGGGGTTGATTTGGCCCTATTCATACAGCAGGGATGTGCTGTGGGAGATGGGTCCTATTCACACGGCAGGGATGTGCTGAAAGAGTCCTATTCGCACAGCGGATGTTAAAGCCACATCATTGAAAAGTAAAACATTCATTTTTGGAGAAACAAAGAAATGCAGTAACATGAATAGGACCTTTTCCTCTTTTTTAGAATGAACAAAAGTTTTCCCATCTATCCTATTGTGTTTCACATATTCTAAACTGTCAAGTAATCTCCAGCTACTCTGATTAAGGCCCCATTTGGTTTGCAATAATAGGGGTCTGGAATTAGAATTGGAATGGGCTATTCTGATTTCAACTGTTTGGTTAGGTAGAATTGGAATCCCATTTTCATTCATCCTGGAATGGCATTCTCCCATTTGAGGGAATGGCCATTCCCTGCCTTTTGAGAATGAAATCTCATTCCAACTGATTTTAATTTTTATTTTCATTTCTATATGAACCAAACAGACTATAAGAATAGATCATTCTGATTCTAATTTCAAAAAATTTTGATTCCAATTCTGAATATAAACCAAACAAACCTTAAATAAATCCTCTTTGAATTCCTTCTAAAATTAATTAAGGGTTCTTAGAATAATCAATGGGTATATTTATTAGGATATATATAATTGAACGATCTGATAATTTCAAATGAATGAAATCTTTGTTGCTTATGTTTCTGGAAAGCAAGTTAGTAGGAATAACATGAGTAGATGACTGTTTCTAATTGTCATTAATTAATTCTTGCAAGTAGGGTCTATGGATAATATTTCAAACGAATGAGAGCAGTTGTAGAATGAGTAATTAATTGTAATAAACAATTCGGGTGTTTAATTAGTCATGAATTGCATGCCGCATGCGGAAACCAGAAGGTACTAGACCAATTCGTTGGCTTCATTCTATAAATAAAAGGGTTCGAATGCCAACCTTATCACTTATCAACCAGGCAATTTAACTGTTCTGCCAATAGTTTTATATTGATAGAAATTTGCAGGTGAAAAATGGATGCTTGGATGCTCGCAGTTCTTGCCTTCTTGGCCCTTTGCTCTCAAGCTTTAGCCTCTGACCCAAGTCCTCTGCAAGACTTGTGTGTTGCGATTAAGGACACTGAGACTCCTGGTACTACATCTACTTTCCCATTCTTTCCCTTTGTTTTTCTTCTGTCACTTGCACAAAATGCAGCCCTCTACTTCCATATATTCAACTAACATTATATTTACTTTTTAAGGCCTTATTTGTTTTTGGAATTTTGAAAGAGAAAAGTCGATCAGTGGGATTATGATTTCTATTAGCTATCTTATCCATGTTCTTATTTTAGAAATATGTAGGATTTATGACAAATTTGATTTTCCGAGGTATCACTTATCTTGGTAAGTGAAACCCTTTTCAGACTTGGGTAAGTTGATGAGCTTCCCAATAGATAGTAAATGTAAAAAAATTAAAATGATCGAAAAGGCCCTTATAAGACCCATTTCTTTGTTCACAACTGTTATTGACAATTTTGTTATTGTTTTCTGAACAGTATTCGTGAATGGGAAGTTTTGCAAGAATCCAAACTACACAACAGCAGATGATTTT